CTGCACAAAATGTCTATCTTTTTTTTTCTAATCAAGAAGTTAAGGGATCTGCTGGCTTAGCAGGTGCCTCAATTATGCATAATTAGTTGCTAGGAATTGTTGAGCATAGGCTGATTAGTCTCAGCCAAAGGAAATTAAAAAAATTTTTTTTCAACAAAGCCCTGAACACAGCTAGAGATTCCTGAAACTATAGTCATATCCACTTCCTCTGGGAAGCCCAGACCTTGGGAACGGGAGCAGCAGGAGATGGAGAGACTAGGATCATCCTGATTACACATGGATGCTGTCTGGTGCCAGGCAACCCCTGGAGGATAGGAGAACATGAGGGGACCTGAGTTATTCCCTCAAGATGTGATTCTCACAGCTCCAAAGTGGGCTTTGTTTGTGATGCAGAGTGAATTATTGCTAAGATTCCTGAAACTATAGTCATATCCACTTCCTCTGGGAAGCCCAGACCTTGGGAACGGGAGAAGCGGGAGATGGAGAGACTAGGATCATCCTGATTACACATGGATGCTGTCTGGTGCCAGGCAACCCCTGCAGGATAGGAGAACATGAGGGGACCTGAGTTATTCCCTCAAGATGTGTTCTCACAGCTCCAAAGTGGGCTTTGTTTGTGATGCAGAGTGAATTATTGCTGCTTAGGTGCCTGCTGTTTGCTTTCCATGTTTATAAACACTAGCTTCACTTGGAATATGTAATCAAAACAAATGATCTGTGTTTGCCCCTCCTGTGTTTGGCACAAGAGGAGACTGGTCAAATTGGGGGGAAGATGAGAGGGACAGATGGTCACCCCCATTGTTGTTCTTCTGTTGTAAGTGTATGCTTGACTAAACCCTTTCTGTGCTTTTGTCACCATGTCAGTTCTCCCTATTAGTGGAGGGCATTTTCCCTAGCCTCATGGGATGTCACTGTGAAGGGACCCACGTTCTTCCCTGTTATGGCCAATATGCAAGCCCTACAACAGTGGGAGGCCATCATGTGTGACAGTGATTATCTAGCTGCTAAGATGTCATTAGAAAAGGCTGGCAGTTCTGATACCCTGAGATGTCCTTAGTGATTACTTGCAGCATTCATTTTAGTGAGCAGTAGCTCACTAGCTGAATGTCTGCTTTGCCCCTATAGTGGCTTTCAATCCCTCATTCATATGATTGTCAATGTCAAGGCTGAGTGTGGTATGAAAATCAAAATTCTTTTATTTAAAGGCATTGTTTTAAAGGTTGTTTGATAAATCCTTCTGTAGTCTAAATGAAAATGAAGGGAACTATATTTTAATATCAGTCTTATAAAGAGTCACAGATTTTTAACATGCTTGACTAAGCCCTTTCTGTGCCCTAATATTAAGTCAATACTTAATAGCAATTAGGTGATGACCTGACTTTAAAAGGAATAGGCTATAAACCTAGAAAAAGAAAATCAGAGGTAGGTAGAAAAAGAAAATCAGAGGTAGCTCATAACAAATGTTTGACTTTCTTCAGGTTGTTTGCTTTTCAATAAATGCTATAGTTTGAAAAGTTGGATATAATTCATTCATCCATCAGCAAATATTTAGTGAATGCCTACAGTGTGCCGGGTACTGTTCTGGATATATTTCTTACTGGTTGATTCCTTCTCTTGTTATTTTACCTATTTTTTATTCATTTATATACCTAGATGGAACTTGAAAGTCTATTTAGTGTCTCTCCAGTGAAACAAAGGAAAAGTATTAACAACATACATCTTATAATTCAGTGACTCTTTAAGGCCCATACTGGGGAGCCATGAGTTGTAATGGCATTTAAAAAAAATTTATCTTTAAAAAAGTGAGCTGAAAAGTATAAATCGGTTCCGTAGTATCATTTTTAAATGTTATTCCCTCTAGGCAAAGAAGTATGTGGAGGAGGAATGAGATTTATATACACACAAAAAAGAATTGGCTATGATGGCTCATTTTTGTAGCCTCCTCAGGATTTAATTCCTCCTCCACAGGAATTAACACAAAATATACAAGGTCTCTGCTAGTGTGGTGTCTGGTCACTTACCTGTGTGATACAGCAACATGTGGACCCAATGACCCAATCTCATTGTCTATCCAAGAAGAAATAAGATAAAGAGCAAAGAGCATAGGAATAAGAATAGAAGAAATCCAGTCTAGACTCACTTTAGATGTGTGTCCTTCTATAGATTTACCTCTCTGGGCCTCAGTCCCACTATGAAATGAAAGCATGGTCTAGATTGTCCCATATAAGCAAGAAATTCTAGGACTATATCTACAAATCTGCATTAAGGGACACATGAGGAGACTGTGATAGAAGCCTCCATAGTTCTCCATGACTTTATGCTCAAGGTTTAAAAATGCACCCTGGGCGTCTTGTCCTCAGCCACTGATTCATTCAGTGTCTTCTCTCCATTTCTGTTTTCAAAGTTTGAACCAAGATTTGACTTTTACTAAATCACATCAAGAAAGCTGATTTTCATTCTGTGATGGGTACGTTTTTACAGAAGGCCCAGGATGCCTCTTAGATGTTTAAAATAAAAAGATATCCTTCGGGCAAGTTTCCAAAAAATGAAATGTTAAATTGTACCATGCTGCTCTGTGGCCGTGCTCTCCTTAACCCCCCTGATCAACATTGCCAAACTTCTGCCGTACTGCCATTGGGAATTATTGCTTTCACCCTGATTGACTTTGGAAAGCTATGTTTAGATAACATCAAACTTATTTCGGTCTGGTCCTTTGATCAATACAACTTTTGGCTTCTAGGTAATTATTTACTTTTGCCTATCAAGTAAAAACACTTGATATTGGGAGTGAGGGTGGGGTTGGGGATGCCTGTGCAGAGGTTGGCCAGGTGGCCATCTATAATTCAGTTTCAACCTTTTAAGGATTGCACAATAGACACTCTCGACTCTAAATTGAGGAAATTGTTTTCAAATATAAATGAGAAAACCATTTTATCAGTGTTGACTACTTCTGTAATGAAAACTGGTTAAATTTCTAAAGAAATGGTTCCTTAAAATAGAGCATCAAGCACAGATAACCCCAGTTTCCTTGGCAAATCTCTCATTGCCATTTAAGAAAATCAAACACTGGATTCAACCCAAGACTTTGCTTGGCTGGAATCCTGACAAATTGAAAACTGAGGGAAGGCTTTATGTTGTTGTGATCTACATTGCCGGGCTCAAGGTTCTGTGTGCATAAATACACAATGTAAAAGTTTTGGATAATGAAAGGAAATATATTTTTAAATCACTCTTATAAAGAATCCCAGATTTTAACATATAGTAATTTGGTTTTAATAGGTGCTATATAAAGCATATTGCCTGATTATTAAATTGACACTGAGAGGAAAGCATTCAAATACTCAGGGGGGAACAGTGGGGCAAATGGAGACTTTTGTAGCATAATGCTTACATTTTGTTTTGTGGTTTTTGATTATATTCAAAATTGTGTTTGCAAAGAGAAGAGTCAAAGACCTAAGATACTACTTCGAAAGGAAAAACGATGATGTTGATAGTGTTGGTATCTAAAGTTGGTAGTTTGTCTTTATGGTTGGAGGAATATAAAGAATCGTGTGACAAATGAAATGTAAACATGTAACAGTGTGACTTCCGTTTTTTAAGTTAATTGCAGCTTACAGCAGTGTTAATCTTTCCTTTTGTCATTGCTTATAAAGACTGTTGGTTTTATGAAGAAATTGTGAATCATTTCAACCAGAAGTACATCCTAGAGAGGAAATGAGGTCTGCAATTTTGAAACACAAACCACTTAGTTAGGAGAATTAATATTCTCAGAAGATAAAGCCTTGTTGCTGAATTAAACCCTTGTTATATTTAATAGTTTGCCATGCACAATATGGTTTTTGCAAATCCTTTAATGATTTCCTGTTAAAACAACAGCAATAACAGACAAACTGTATAGGGCAGCCAGAAGTGACATTCCAGTCGTCTATATTGACTGAATATGCTAGATAATTATTTTACATTATATTTACTTTAAGCCATATTCTTGAAATGTTTAAGGTTGTTACTCATATCCTAATAAGGAAATATTTAAGGTCATTACTCAGGTATCTCTTTTACTTTATACAAATGACCCCATCCAAACTAGTAAGAATTGTTCCTGTCTATTTTAACCCTAATATTTGCCATCTAGATCCCTACCTTTGTATTCCAACCAGATTAAATCCTTTCCTAGGTTAAAAAAAAAAATCACTTTACTTAAAATTTGATGGCTCATCACCTCTATGATCTTGTCACCTAGAGTTTTAATCATTCAGCTTCCTGCCTAACTCACAGATATACCAAGCTTTAGACCTTCTGTCTTTTCAGTTGCTCTTTTTATGGTTCTGCAGGTTATTTTCATCCCTTTCTAAAAGAGGACAAGTCACCTTGTTGCAATATGTGTCTTCTTTTGCTAACCATCATTCCTTGCCTACTCTCAATGTAGCTTCTCTGGTCTTACTTCTGAACATCCCTATCCCTCTGCTTTGCACTGGCTGCTGGTTCACATTCCCAGGAGGGACCTCTACTAACTCTGTCTTTATTCTCCTGCAATACTAATGCTCTGTCATCTGCTTATCTGAAATATACATTTCTGTCATTTCCTTTGTTCTTCTACCTGATTATTCTTAGTGCCCACTGAGCCATTTTATTTCTTCTTTGTCTTCCTGTTACATATATTCACTGATACTTCTTTATCAATGAATGTAGGTGACAGGCACATAATTTGTTCACTATATTTGCATACTTCTTACCATTTTATAAATGTCTTCACATGCACTATAGCTTTTGCTTCTGACAACCCTAAGAGGTAGATAACAATTTTATCCCTCTTTCATGGGAGAGGAAACTGATTTTCAAAGAGTTGTCCCACAGCTAACAAGTTTAGGAACCAGGTCTACTAGGCTCTTTCTACGTACCATATCACCTCTCTCTGGCAGAAGGATTGGAGTCCTTTAAAAATCTTCACTGCATTAGAAACTGGATGGAAATTAACCAAACCCTTCATTGTACCTTTGCAGATGAGAGTCCCTACACTAAATCCGCCAGCCAGACAAAGCCGCCTGATGGAGCGTTGGCTGTGAGGAGACAGAGCATTCCAGGTTAGACCAGACTGTTGGATTTTTCAGCTGTCTTACTTTTGAATCCTGTTATTTTCTGGTCTGAAGTAATTCCAACTTGGTAATAAAAATCATATTGTTTCTTAGCACATACACTGCATTCTACACAATGGTTTCAAACAATATTCATAAAAGCTAGGCTTTGGAAAACCTTGCCAACTTGTGAGAATTCATCTTGAAATCCATCATTGTAAAATTCCTCTATAAAATGACTTGAATTTATATCAACTCTCACTCCTTTATTTACTCACACCTCTGTTTTCAGGGGATGACTTTCACAGCAGCATCCATTTCTTTACTGAGACATACCTGGCAGAACAAAGGGGTTCAAAATTGCAGTAGCAGATCATGTATGCAAATAAAAAGTACTCCTTTCTTCTCATCTCTTTGAACCTGGATTTGCTTCCACTGGACAACTCTTGTAAAGTGCTGGGACTTTGTTTCCTTAGGAAGGTGTGATTCAGATTCTTGTAATACGCTGAGCGACAGATAGCTATGTTTTTCCAACAAAACATCATGAAGTATCTTAAAATGTCTCTACCCTGAAACTTCAATATTTTGAAGGTTTGATTTTGAGAATGATACAAAAGCATGTAAGTTCTCAAAAAGAAAGGAAATACAAAATATTTTTAAAACTTTATCCGAATTAGATAATTCACGGAAAAACCTCTAATGGAAGCAACTGTATTTAAGAGAAGGCTTAAAAGCATTAATATATTTAAATATTTATCAAAAATAATGCATGACTTTAAGCAAGTCAAGTACAACTAAACCCTAGCTGCAAGATGTTCAAGTACAGTAGTTTAAGCAATTCAGGAGAAACAAAACAGTGTTTCCTACATTAAATTGAATGGTTTGGCAAATCTGTCAGTGAAAGGAGAAGTTTTCCATTTGAATAAAAAGCAAGATAAGTCCAGGTTCTGAGCAACCCTGTTCATCATAATTTTTAACAAAAATTACAGATGGTTATTTTTACTGTTATTCTGAAGGCTTAGGTTTATTATGAAAGTACATGGCTTATAAAGATATACATTATGAATATGTTATCCATCCTCGTTTTGGTGCTTTGAAGATTCTAAAGTAATTTGAATTCTGTAATTAGATGGCATCACACTGTACAGAGTTTCTTCTATTCCATCCTATAAGACATCATTCTTAGCTCTGTCATGTTTAGAAAAACTATTATAGTCAGCTGTGGGCTGTGTTCTCTGCTTTCTCCTTGTCAGCAAAATCTGAGGTTTAAGGATGTCAGTTGTCCATCGATTCCTTATTGGCTTCTCTACCTTAACCGGTACTGAGTACTCTTCTGTTGGGAGGAGATGAAAGACTTCCCAATGTCCTTATACTAAACAAATGCACTGACTATTGTCAGTGTTTTCCTTTCATGGGTTCTCGAGTGTTACACACTAAATTATGACACATGTTTGAGGGCCAGACTTTTTCTTAAAGTTATTATGTAGTTTTTTAAGTTGCATGTCAGGTACACAGAATTGGCTTATCATAATCCTTTCTTTGTGACACAAGTGATTCTTCATTATAGAGTTTTCCCTTTTTTTCCCCGTTTGTCAGATTTAAAAGTCACTGGAATTGTGAACTTTTGTGTAAGCTAACAGATTGTTTTTCTGTAGTTCAACCATGGACAAACACCTTTTTGTTCATCCAGGGGCCAGAGGGGTCAGAGTCTTCAAAATCTTCTTAGCTATTTAGAACAGTCCAAGAAAAAAGGCTGCACCAGCCAGAGGACTAAGAAACCAAAATGGTAAATAGCTGATTATTACTTACTATCATCCTAAGGAGAAAATTAACAAACTTTGGAAACTACTTCCTGACTGAAATGACTCTTGGAGTTCTAATCCTTTACTGTCTTCCTTAAAAATACTTATGAACTTATGTTCTGGCAAAAAGAAGGGAGTATCCCAGATCTTTGGCCATGAAGTCACACTACTTCCTGACTGAAATGACTCTTGGAGTTCTAATCCTTTACTGTCTTCCTTAAAAATACCTATGAACTTATGTTCTGGCAAAAAGAAGGGAGTATCCCAGATCTTTGGCCGTGAAGTCATTTATATCAAAGAGAGACCTAACCCAGCATCTGTAAGTCTTAACCAGAAGCAACAACCACGTCCACTTTTGCACCTACTGATTCCATCAGACAGAGGGAAACGCACAGAGGAAAGGGCCAGGTAAATACTCTTTATTATTTACTGGAGCTTCTGCTGAAAGATTCTGAAGTGGTCTCACGATGGACTAAGTTGGACCACATGAAGCCATGAATGCTGCAAGTATACAGCCTTTGTCTCTTTCTCCTGTGCTCACCTCCATATCTTACTTCCCTCAAGGTATTATTACCACCCTGATAGCAAGGAAAAATGCATCTAGAGAAAAGTGCACCAAGGAAAGAAGCCCTAAAGGAGGGCTTGGCTCATTTACCAGGCCCTGGTCTTCTCAGTGCAGAGGCACTTCCCAAGGTAGATGCATCTGCTGAGCCATTTAACTGCCCCAGCTGCTGGAGAGTAGACAAGCACAGGAAGCTGAACCTTAAAGGAGCTATGGCTTTTTTCTGCATCTCCCCTGAAGCTCCACTCCCTGTGGTCCAATGATGGTGATTGAATTTGACCATTCGTATGATAGTGAAGGAAGAGCATAAGGTATCAGAAAGCAGCGTCTCTATCTAAGTTTTATGACAATCTAAGCTATTCTTTGAAACTTATTCTACAAACGTAGATGTGGTGCTTGCTAGAGTAAATATTTATACACACATACATAGTTAAGATTTCTTAACACAAGCTCTGCTATTTCCTTGGCATAATAAAGAGTAACTCTTAACAATTCTATTCCAAATAGGAACCTTGAATGTTAACAGAAGTATAATTTTCTATTCATTCATATCAAAATTCACTACCCTTGTCTAAACTCAAAATTACTGCAGCATTTATTTTATATTCACAAGTCAAATATGTGTCTTTCATTAAATAGAAGTTCTAACTGCAAATCTTTTCATCCCCCTCCTTTTCTCTTCCCAAAAAAGGGAATGGATTAAGCATCTCTTAGGAGCAAAATGCATTTGCCTTGGATAAAGGGGAAATGCATTATTCATGTTATTTGGGAACTTGTCATTTTAATCATGTCTCTTATGGCATAAAATATAAAAATGAAAAGTTTTTTAGTCTTTCATAAGGTTTTGTAAAATTTAAGTAATGATGATAGTAAAAAATGACGTGATGTCCCTAGAACACTGAAGTTTAAATTTAGCTTAGAGATTTAACATTCTAAGGTGTATTTTCAATCTCATTTCTGCCCATTTTTTTTCAAAGATAAGATAAATTCCAAGTACAGAGGTATTTGGAATTGACAGAATTTACCACAGATCCATATCTATTAAAAAGAATCTGTTGATCTGATTTTCCTTTATTTGACAGATTGCTGGTGAATTTAAGTTTGACTGCTTGAAGTGTTTGTCCAAATTATTAGAGGAAATCTGTACTGACTCTGAGCTTGACAGATTTTGCAATAATTTGTGGCTTTGCCCACTTAGAGATGAAACATTTAATCATATCTCTCTAATGTTTGTGAAGGGAAAAAACAGACACTACATCAGGCCTCAAAGCCTAGAGTTAGTATATTATTTATTTGATTTGCCTCTTCTTCCTGCATTGGCTATCTTCCTTTGCTTATGTTAGTCTTAACAAAGATATCTGGACACTTGACAAATGTAGGAATATGTCAAGGACTCATATCTATTCCATTTCCAAACTTGGGTGCACCCAGGAAAATTATCTTAAATTTGTGTTCAGAATGAGGCTTCAAAAGTTTCTATAGGATTTTTTCCCTTCCTAGAATATAAGAAAAGACACTTATCAATTTGGTTATAATGGAATGAAATTANTTTTGCACCTACTGATTCCATCAGACAGAGGGAAACGCACAGAGGAAAGGGCCAGGTAAATGCATACTCTTTATTATTTACTGGAGCTTCTGCTGAAAGATTCTGAAGTGGTCTCATGATGGACTAAGTTGGACCACATGAAGCCATGAATGCTGCAAGTATAAAGCCTTTGTCTCTTTCTCCTGTGCTCACCTCCATATCTTACTTCCCTCAAGGTATTATTACCACCCTGATAGCAAGGAAAAACGCATCTAGAGAAAAGTGCACCAAGAAAAGAAGCCCTAAAGGAGGGCTTGGCTCATTTACCAGGCCCTGGTCTTCTCAGTGCAGAGGCACTTCCCAAGGTAGATGCATCTGCTGAGCCATTTAACTGCCCCAGCTGCTGGAGAGTAGACAAGCACAGGAAGCTGAACCTTAAAGGAGCTATGGCTTTTTTCTGCATCTCCCCTGAAGCTCCACTCCCTGTGGTCCAATGATGGTGATTGAATTTGACCATTCGTATGATAGTGAAGGAAGAGCATAAGGTATCAGAAAGCAGCATCTCTATCTAAGTTTTATGACAATCTAAGCTATTCTTTGAAACTTATTCTACAAACGTAGATGTGGTGCTTGCTAGAGTAAATATTTATACACACATACATAGTTAAGATTTCTTAACACAAGCTCTGCTATTTCCTTGGCATAATAAAGAGTAACTCTTAACAATTCTATTCCAAATAGGAACCTTGAATGTTAACAGAAGTATAATTTTCTATTCATTCATATCAAAATTCACTACCCTTGTCTAAACTCAAAATTACTGCAGCATTTATTTTATATTCACAAGTCAAATATGTGTCTTTCATTAAATAGCAGTTCTAACTGCAAATCTTTTCATCCCCCTCCTTTTCTCTTCCCAAAAAAGGGAATGGATTAAACATCTCTTAGGAGCAAAATGCATTTGCCTTGGATAAAGGGGAAATACATTATTCATGTTATTTGGGAACTTGTCATTTTAATCATGTCTCTTATGGCATAAAATATAAAAATGAAAAGTTTTTTAGTCTTTCATAAGGTTTTGTAAAATTTTAGTAATGATGATAGTAAAAAATGACAT